GACCCAGGTTGGTTAATGACGTCATTGCAACCTCTTTACCAATGAAAGACTTGCATTTATAGTAAAATAGTGATTGATCAACCCTGGGTCGTTCAAATCCTGTATAATCGAAAACGCTATCAGTGTGTACATGATCCGAGTTCTAGTAACTTTCCCTCAGTCCGAGATCTCGGACCGCGTTCTAGTATCGTGGACACAAGGCTTTATAAACTTAAGTTTATGTGGATATGCCCTTGGCGTAGTAAAGTAATTCCATAAACGTAATAAGTATATAGCTTTTTCGATTAAACGGATTTTGATTTATCGCGGATCAATTAATCACTATTTTATTATGAATTCAAGTCCTTTATTGGCGGAGATCATGCAATCATATCTCCGCGAATAAAGGACTTGAATTCATAGTAAAATAGTGATTAATTGATTCAGAATAAATCGAACACTCGTCAATCGAAAATCGCTATTACTACGTCTATGGCATTTATGGTAATTTCGAAACAGCTATGACAGTGTATTGTTGTGACGTCATGTTGGCCATACTGCCAGTAAAACGGAACATAGTCGAAGAAAGGTAAGAGACACGTCCAGATACGTCAAATATGGCGGAAGCCGTTGTGGACGGGAGTCCGATGTCTCGATTTTTTTGCCACAAATGCAGTGTCGAAATTGAGCGTTTGTTGCCAGTAAGTACTTAGCAACAACTTTTGTGACGATTACTTGCTCGTTTGCGTTGTTTTGTCATGTGCAACCTCGTAAACATGTCGTAAAGAAATGGTCATTCCGAAAGATTGTCACTTCGAATCACATGCGAAAGTCTCTCTCCCACCCCTGTGAAAAACAATTCTTTAATTTATTCTTCGATTTTTTATACCGAGCGGCAAATCAGTACTGCAATATATATGCCAGTTGCGTAAATTGTGTAATTTTCCTACTGCTTTATCTTAATAATGTTGAAGATTTTGAAATCATATTGACAGCAATAATTATACAGAATAAATCGCATTTATGACGATCACTTGCTGTATAATTTTTAGTATAATACCTGCCACATGATTGCATTTAAGATTCGTTTTTTACAATTGTTTCTCTTCAGTTCAACTCTATTATTTGTGCACGAATTACGTATCATAATTAACCTTTGAGACACGTACGCCTTTGCATCATTATTGCTGAATATATTTGTGTAGTAATACAATTGAATTGCTTTATAAACAGAGTTGCTAAATTCCAAAATGTTATGTCACAATTGTGAAATGAAATGAAATGTTTGTGTCTCGATATACTGACAACAAAATTGTATTTATTTATATATATATATATATATATATGTGTGTGTGTGTATGTATGTGTGTGTGTGTGCGTGTGATACAATTAAAAGAAATAAATACAATTTTCTTGTAGTATGTATATATATGAAATTTACAATAAGACAAATATGTATCTTTTTATAAATTCTTTGAAATTGCATCTTGCTGCTCTTGTAATTTTCCTTAGTTTTCATCTTTGTTACTTTCTTTAATGCATTAATTATATATCTATTTTAGGTTGAGAGTAGAAAGTACAACATAGTGCAGCTGTAAAGCTCACCTAAAACACGTCTATCTTTATGTTTTAAAGAAATTGGTAAAATTGATAGAGGAGAGTAGAAAGGAGTTTACAAAACTCTTATCTCTCTACAAAACATAAAGATGTTTAAAATCGTAATAAATTACATTTCTAATATCTCGCATACCTATTGTATGTTGGTTGTTTACACAGTGTCAGGGTTATATTTGTATAAAAGTAGTTTCTTCTTTCATGTATTGGTTGTCATTGTCTTGTTACTCTGGTATGTACAATTTCTTTGTGTGACGGTGATGTGTAATGGTTTTACTATCGATGAGTCAATTGTATTTAAAACTATGAAATATTGAGATATTAATTAAGACAAAGATATTAACTATTTTATTTTATATTACTTTTAAAATATTAACATCATTATTACTTCATGAAAATATACAATATAATAAAAATACCTTTTTTTTTTATAAATTTTATGGTTAAATTGTTTAATTGCTATGTATATTGCTCTTCCTCTCTCTTCCCTCTTCTCACCCCTCCCCCCTTTTTCTCTGTTGAGGGTAGATCTTGCAAGATGAGATATAACAGATTCACATGGGTGATATTTTATTTAGAATTACACATGTCCACGATGTGCAAGCGGTTTTATCGAAGAGCTCGAAAGCAGCAGCAATGAGGGGAGTTCGGGCATGGATGTAAACAGTGAAGATCTGAGTGATGTGGATGTTGATATCTTAGGATATAACGTAAGTAATTTAAATAAACCAAAGAATTGTTGATACAAAACATCTTAAAAATATGTAACTATTATGAACATTATCTTACTTGACAGTCTTCACATCGTTCTGATCGCGATCGTGACATAATAGAAATGATAATGGGACTTTCAAATACATATACCAATCAACAGTCAAATGCCACTCAACAACCGGGTACAGGTAACCGAAATTATGTGCTTGGGAGTAGAAGAAGATCTAATTGGTCTCGTGCTCCTCAAGAGGGACGTCGTGCCGCCAGGTATAACTATGATTCTTTTTCTATTAATTCCAAATATGACAGCAATATAGTATATAGTGATGTAATTGTCAACTTTCAAAGATAATCGATAGACAGTTGGATTCATTCAAATATTTAACATCAAATTGAAGATGGTGTGTTTAACATCCTTCTTTTTCTTGACGTTATAGAAAATTGTAAAATGTAGACTGATCAGTTAAATAAATGATTGACAATTTAATATCTATCTGTGCAATCTTTGGATTTTCTCTGATTGTTCGAGTTTCTGTAATATTTGAATCTTCTCATTTCTCTTATGTTGTTACATGTGTCGTGCACTTTCGCATAAAAGATATTGTATGAAAATTTTGATAAATTATTAATTTGATTCTTTTACTCCAAGCAATCGTAGAAGACAGGAGAGTCTACAGGTGCCTATAGAGAATTTCATACAAGATTTTATTCTCAATCTCTCGGGAGCAGCGAGCCTAGGCCACTCGGTGGGACAAGATTCTCAACCATCTGTGTAAGATATTTTATATTACATAATTATTATTTGTGATATTTTAAACCATATAATTATATATAGAATAGGTACATATTTCACGAGCATAAATAATAAATAGGTCAATGCTTGCAACACTTTACACATTCTTGAGATATATCTCAATAAGCAACATACAGTTTATTCAATTCTATTATGTTGTGTTGTATTAATTTCTATATATGGATGTAAGTAGTAAAATATTTCCTATTCGTATCTGTCCGTACAATTTTTGGATTTTCTCTGATTGTTCGAGTTTCTATAATATATGAATCTTCTTCCCATTTCTCATGTTGTTACATGTGTTGTGCACTTTTACATAAAGCTGCTCGTAAATTATCATTTTAACATGCTCCTTCAACAGTGCTGGCTACAGTAAACATTCAAAAAATTTATTTATCCATGGGGCTACAAGTTATAAACAATTTGATTTAATTTTTAGTGTTACTAAAATAAAACAAAATAATGTAGATTCAATATTAGACTGTTCTTGGGAAATCCTGGAGATTATGTTTGGGGTCGTGATGGATTAGATGCTATCGTTACCCAATTGTTGAATCAAATGGACGGTACTGGACCTCCACCTTTACCGCGCAAGCAGATTGACGAAATACCTACAACTACTATATCACAAAGCCAAGTTGGTCAGTATTTACAGTCAGTGTTAATGTTTAGTTTATTATTATATGCATTTTGATACTTTTTTTTCTGTCTTTATTTTTTAAGTTCTTATCAACTTGAGTACGGTGTACACGACAACATTGTGTATACACAATTAAATAACAATTCAAATCGTTGATAAGGACTTGAAAGAATTGAACTAAGAGTTGTACTAAGCTCTCTTTCAGATATATACAAATATATTTATTCCAATAATAGTGCATGTCATTTCTGTTATCTGTCATAATTATCACTTTTCCAAGTTTTTTAATCATATCAATTTAGTAATCACTTTTATTACTTTTCTTTATATAGATTGTAAATTACAATGTTCCGTTTGTTGGGAAGACTTCAAGCTATCTGAACCCGTTAGACAGTTACCTTGTCAACATGTTTATCACGCACCATGCATTGTACCCTGGTTGGAATTAGTAAGCTGAAGAATTTTCAAGTTTTATTAATAATGTGTGCATACATTAGCATTGAGATATAAACTTTGCTAATTTGGTTTCTCTTTTGGATTTCTTATTTTCTAGCATGGAACTTGTCCCATTTGCAGACAAAATTTGGGAGATCAAAACTCGGCTGAAGCCAATCAAGCTACTGGAACTAGCTTAGCTGAATCCGCTTTAGCCGGAACTAGTTTTGCTGCTTTATTTAGGTAAGTTGATAGATATTTAAAGAAGAAATATACAATTTTTATCTTTAGCGTTGAGATTTGTTGAACATTTTTTATAAACCAAACATATTATTGAATAATACATCAGTTACAAAAATAATTGTAATATTTTTGTATCGATACATATCAATATTCGATGAAAATTCTAAAACGAGATCTAACCCAAATTATCATTTCATTTATTGACTCGATTTTCTTTATTAGATAATTTAGGTTTTCATGTGTAAAAGAGTGAAATGAATGTAGCTGTTGTTTTAGAAGAATCTGCTTTAGACGGCATTATTTAAGCAATTTTCTCTCGATTTTCTTTTGTTACTTTTACAAAAGTAACAGCATCGATAAATGCTTTTAATGCATTATTATTTAGTGGCACTGGCGGATCCTGGGGGGGGGTTAACC